TGGATACTAGAGACAGTATGGGAGGAGGATGAGGGTGCGAGGAAGGGAATCAAAGGGAAAAAGAAAGAAACAAAACACTTAAGAGACACAAAAATGGAAAAGTATCTGTTGATTTTAAAAAAGTTTTTAAAAAAAGAAGTCAGAGGCTGAAAAGTGGGCAGGAAGTAACACTTGATGCACTGAGAGGTAGTCCTATGTGGGAAGGTTACTGGTTCAAATCCAAAGACCTCCCTGAGTGTAACAGGCACACACACGCACAAGGTCTGGAGGTGGCTGAGACCAAGATCATTCCCTCTCCTCATGGTGTCAGGATCCTATAGGGCATGCCATTTCTTTTTCTTTCTCTTGCTTTCTCGGCCTCTCTTCACTTAAGGAAAATAAACAAGTAAATAAACTTTATTGATTGATCAAACCATATTGCACACTAAAGAGATATAAAATGATTACATGTCAAAAAGAAATCATGCAATAAATAAATATAATCAGTCAATAACGTTTATTATATAAAGTTGTCAGAAAAGTCATGGCACATTTTTACATAGAAAATATGTCATGACTTTTCTGACAACCTAATATTATTTATTGTATAATTTCTTATTTATATTTAATCATTTTACACCTCTATCACAAAAAAATTGGTTGTTGAAAGCATACATTCAGTGCATGTCAATGAAGTCAGAGCTATTACCATATACATCATTCTCCACAGGTAATTTTCCATGCTTGTGTCTGTTAAATGTTATTAAACTTTATTTTAAAAATATTTCAATAAAGTTGAAGAGCCTATCCTAAAAGGAAACCTCAGAGGTTTTTGATGTTGTTTTGTTTTGAGCAATATTTGGCTATAGGGTGTGTACATGCCAGAGAGACAGAAAGTGAGAAGTCACTCCCCAGAGGGGATGGTCATGCCTCAGTCCCTTCTCCTCCATCTTCTTCTTGGGTTTTTGGGCGCACACACACACACACACACACACACACACACACACACACACCTGGCATAAGTTTCAAGCTGCTGGTTCTGGGACTCAAACTGTAGTTTGCCACGTGGGAATCTTATACCTTAATCACTTAACCATTTAACCTTTTGGCACCAAAGGCTCAGGTTTTAGTGCAGCCTCTTGTCTCACCCATCTCACTCTCTGCTCCTTCTGACATCATGTCCACAGTTCTCTCCTTTTCACCAGGAACTGTCTCTTTCCTAGTCATCTCCCAGGTGATGTTGGGCTTCTGCAAACCTCTTACCAAGTGTCCGGATCTCCTTCTTACCTCACTAGCTTTTGTGTAGCCAGACACCCAGGGAGGGAGGAGCTCAGGAAAGAAAAAAAAAAACAACTCACACAATCGACAGGCGTTTACAAACCTCCTTCAGCAGGCTCTGTGATGTGTGTGAATGATAAGTGCTCTCTTCTCATCTGCTTCTAGGGAGATGCAGTGTGGCCACTCAGCAGAAGAGATTAGCACAATTCCCGGACCTGGTAAGTATTAATAAGTACAAGTTACTAGTCATGTGATTTTCTGATCACCTTCAATGAGCAGAGCCTGGTCTGTGTATGTTACATTTTTGTGCTATTTTGAAAAGGATATTTTCCCCTATGATGTATATGTTGATTACTAGAAATAAGAGAGAAAATGATTATGTGTACTCATTGGATTTTTTTTTGTTTTACAATTTACCAAAGTGATTTTCCAGTTGTAATAGCTTTTTGTTTGGATTTAGTGGGCCAATTTTGTCACCTGAAAATGTGATTTACTTTCATTCAAGATGTGAAACCGCTTTTTCTTCTTTAGCCTAATTGGTTTGAAATTTCAGAACAGCACTGGGCAGTGGCAGGGGGAAGGTATATTTGTCTTCTATCTTTATAAGCTTTTTCTCAAATAATTTCGCATCAAGGTTAAGATTAGATGATGATTAGAGAAGCTATTTTATCATACTTAAGCGAGATTCTTCTTCCATAGTTTGGTTTGTGGAAAACATAATAGCAGAGACAGCAGGTGTAAACACCAGAGACTGTATAGGAAGCAGCGCATGGTGGGAGGGAGGAGCTCAGGAAAGAAAAAAAAACATTAAACAGACACAAGAGTAGAAAGTTATTGTGTATGATGGTATCTTTGGCTTGCTTTACATGCAATGCATTTGTGCTTTAAGAACACACAATGTATGCTGAAGAGACATACAATGATTGGAACCAGCAGGTGGCAAGGTGGTTAAGGCTCTAGACTCCAATATGACTGACTGCAGTTTGAGTCCCAGACCTGGTAGACGGCTTTCTCACTTTTCCTCTTTCTGTCACTCTGTCTCTCTCTGGTGACTGCATGTACCTTATAGCAAATGAAAAAGAAGTAAGTAAATAAAATTCTAAAAAGACAATGATTAAATGTAAATACAAAATATATAAAAATCTAGTCATAGTTTTCTCAGAACTATTTTCACACATTATCTTTTGCATCTATTAAGATGATCCTATTATATGTAGATTTTTAAAATTCATATGCTATACAATAATAAATAATCAATATGAAATACTCATTACTTTCTTGCATTGAATGCTTCCTGATCATGTACTTAGTATGCTTGACCAATTGTTGAATATATTTTATACCTACATAGTTCAAGTTTTTCCATTTAAGCTAATTATTGAGAGTCATAACTTTTATTTTAATACTGTGATTGTAGCAGGCTTTTGTCTTTTGGTATCAGGGTTAAAATACATTCATAAAATTCACTGGATATCTATAGGTTTTTTTTTTTTAAATATTTTTATTTATTTAATTCAATTTATTATTGTTATGTTTTAATTTGTTAAAGGGCATATGCACTCACCAGAGAGAGAGAGAGAGAGAGAGAGGAAGTGAGAAAGCAAGCCACTGGGTCTGGGACTTAGACTGCAGTTGGCCATTTGGAAGTCCAGTACCTTAACCAACATGCCACCTGCTGGCCCCTATTTATAGTTTTTTTTAATTGTTGGCTAGTTTCATTTTATGATTTCTTATTCCCTTTTTTCTTTCTTCTTTTTTTTTTTTTTTTTTTCAGGTTTCTGTCATAGGATGTATGTGCTCCCTGGAGAAAGACATAGAAAGACAGAAGGAGAGAAAGTGAAAAATCACCTTCCGGGAGGATGGCCATGCTGCACTTCCTTCTCCTCTATTCCCCTTCTGGGATTTGGGGCACCCATGCACACATGCCCGGGCATGATTTTTAGACACTGGTCCTGGATTCAAAATGTGGTTGGCCATTTGGGAGTCTGGCAACTTAAACACCATGCCACCTGCCGTCCCTCTTGTTCACTTTTAATTGTACATATTTACCACATACAATATGGTTTTTCAAAGTTTACATGCAGTACATGAAAATAAAAGCAAAGATATTACCGCATACTTTATCTTCAACACAGAACTTTACATTTTTATGTCTGATATTTATCTGAATGTGGCCCCAATATTTTTTAGACATTGCATGTAAGTGAGATTTCAAAATTATTAGTTTGGCATCTTGTTCATGAGAAATTTGTTTTTTGACGTAACTTTTTCTTTGATGACTGGTCCACTATACCTTTTAATTAAAAATTATTCAAATATGGGACTGGCAGTTAGTATAATGGCTATGTCGCTGGACTCCCATGTAGTCAGCCACAGTTCGCCTCCCAGACCCGGTGGCTTAAAACTCATGCCGGGCGCATGTGCATGTGTGCCCAAGATCCCGAGAAGAGAATGGAGGAGAAGGGATTGCAGTGTGGCCATCCCCCCTGGGGGGTGATTTCTCGCTTTCTACCTCTCTGTCTCTCTCTGTCTGTCTGGTGAGTGCATGCTCCCTATAGCAAAAACCTCTCCCCCCAAAAAAATTATTCAACTATACAGAAAACATGGCATTCTCATCACTTATGAAAATTATATATTGATTCATAAGTTTAGACATTATTATTAACGGGATCATTATTATAATAAAGGCATTTAAAAGTAAAATACAAATGTAATTCAAAAGATAACTGAGATAACAAAGACTGACTGACTAGATCTTAGGGCAGTTGAACGTATAAAGTCTACTTCAGTTGCTAAATTATGGGAACCAGGAGGAGGCGTAGTGATTAAGGTGCCGGACTCCCATGTGGCTAACTGTGGTTCAATTCCTGGACCAGTGGCTCAAAACTTATGCCAGATGTGAATGCATGAGTGTGCATGCCCAAAATCCCAGGATGAGAATGGAGAAGAAAGGATTTTGTTTTGGCCATTTCCCTTGTGGAGTGATTTCTCACTTTATATCTCTCTGTCTCTCTGGTGAGTACACACAACCTATAGCAAACAACTCTCTCAAAAAAATAAAAAAATAAAATCTGGGGATGTGTATACATGTGCCCCAACCTGGGAGGACAATAGAGAAGAAGAGATTGCAGCATGGTCACCACCCCAGGTGTGGGGGCATGATCTCTCACTTATGCTCTCTCTCCAGTGAGCACATGGGTCATAGGGAAAAAGACTTTAAAAAACATATTAAGTTTTGTGTCTAGGTTTTCCATCAATTGGTTACAACACAGGAGAAGGTAGCAACATTTAGAAACCCCAAATTCAGGACCAGCAAAGGACAAAATGTTTACATTGCTGGGTTCCCACACAGTGGATTGCAGTTCAATTCCCAGATTGGGCAACTTAAAACTCACACTGGGTACATGTGTGTGCATGCCCAAGATCTCCAGGAAAGAATGGATAGGAAGAGATTGCACTGTGGCCATCCTCCCTGGGGTGAATTCTCACTTTATGTCTCTGTGTCAATCTCTGTCTCTCCAGTGAGCACAGGCACCCTATAGCACAAATATCTCTAAAAAGTAAAATAAATAAATAAAGGAAATACTCTTTAAAAAAAGAAACCCCAAATTCACAGAAATAAGAGACAAGACCATTAAACAAATGTGACATATCATTGCCATATTGAGTTCAAGCTAAAGCAGATCACATTGTGGATTAATTGTATCATGTTTCTGCCTTTGTCTATCAGATAGTTCCTTTTCATGGAACAAGAAAACCACACAGGGCTTCCAATATTTCTCCTCCTGGGACTTTCTGAGAAGCCAGAGAATCAGTCTATTCTCTTTGTGCTGTTTCTGACTTTATACCTGATGACCGTCTTTGGAAACCTACTCATCATCCTGGCCATCATCTTAGACTCCCACCTGCACACCCCCATGTACTTCTTCCTCTCTAGCCTGTCCTTTTCCACCATCTGTTTCACTTCCACCACCATCCCAAAGATGCTGGTGAACATCCAGACACAGAGTAAGGTCATCACCTATGGAGACTGCATCACTCAAATGTATTTTTTCACAGTTTTTGGACTTTTGGACAATTTACTTCTGACTGTGATGGCCTATGACCGATTCGTGGCCATCTGTGACCCCTACACTACACAGTCATCATGAATCCCCAGCTCTGTGTCCAGTTACTTCTTTTGACCTGGCTGGTCAGCACACTGGGAGCCCTTCCTGAGAGTTTAACCACATTGAAACTCTCTTTCTGTTCAGTTGTTGAAATCCCACACTATTTCTGTGAACTCCCTGAGATCCTCAAGCTTGCCAGCTCTGACACCTCCATCAATAACATTGTATTATATATTGTGACAGGCATCATGGGTTTTTTTCCTCTTGCTGGAATCCTTTTCTCTTATTATCAAATTGTTTCTACTGTCTTAAAGATCTCAACAACAGGAGGGAAGTATAAAGTGTTTTCCACCTGTGGATCTCACCTTTCAATGGTGTCCTTGTTCTATGGAACCTGTCTGGGGGTTTATCTCAGCTCCACATGGACACATGGCTCCAAGACAGGGACATTGGCCTCAGTCCTATACACTGTGGTCACTCCCATGTTGAACCCCTTCATTTATAGCCTAAGGAACAGGGACATGAAGAGGGCTCTGAGAAGGCTTCTCTGCTGCATTTCACCCTCCCAGTGATGGCTGCAAGAACTCTGTTCCTGGACAGGTGTGATCAAAGGCAATAGAGGGGCCAGCAGGTGGTTCAGTGGTTAAGGTACTGGACTCCCATGGGGTCAACTATGGTTTGAGTCACAGATCCAGAGTCTTGAAACTCATCCTGGGCATGTGTGTGTATGTGCCCAACCTCCTAAGATAAGAATAGAGGAGAAAAGATTGTGGGGTGACCATACCCCTAAGGGATAATTTCTCAATTTCTCTCTGTGTGTCTCTCTGGTGAGTGCACATGCCCTATAGCAAAAATGCCCCCCCTCACACACACACACACAAAGCAATGGAACTGAACATTCAATAGTGTGAACATTGAGGTCTCATTTATAATATTTATGTGCAATTAGCAAATATTCTTTTATGAAGGATGGCTTCCTACCTTTCCATTAAACATCTTAATTTTCCATCTTCTATATCAGAAGGTCTATTCACTAATTGACTTTCTCTGTCACCTTTTTGACTACCAGCCAGCATCATTTTGTCTATCTTATTGCACCTTTTCTAACTTATTAATAGACATCTGATATGTTCATATTGACTATTAGGTTCTCATTTCATCCATTGTGCTCATCCCACACCAATGTGCTCATCTCACCCCAATATACTCAAACCACCCCAATGTTCTCATCCCACACCGATGTGTTCAGCCCTCACCAATATGCTCATTCTGCATCAGTATACTCACATCACTCCTATGTGTTCATCCCACACCAATATACTCATACCATCCCAATGTGCTCATCCTGAAGCAATATGCTAACACCACTCCAATGCATTTATTCCACACCAATATACTCACACCACCCCAATGTGCTCATCCTACACATGTGCTCATCCTACACCAAGCTCATCCCACACAAATTTTCTCATCCCACACCAAAATATTCATACCACTCCAATATGCTCATTCTACACCAATGTGCTCATCCCACACAAATGTGCTCATCCCACACCAATATACTCACATCACCCCAATGTGCTCATTCTTCACCAATATGCTCATCCCACACCAATACACTCACAACACCTCAATGTGGTCATCTCACCTCAACAAGCTCATCTCATCTCAATGTGGTCATTCCATGTCAATGTGCTCAATTCTACACAAGTGTGCTCATCCCACGTGAATGTGCTCATCCTATGCTAATATGCTCATCCCACACCAATATACTCATACCATTCCTGTGTGCTAATCTCATACCAATATACTCACACCACCCCAATGTGCTCATCCCACACCACTAAATTCAAAGGTTGGGTACCTTTGTTACCCAACAACAATCTAAGGGTACAAACCACCTATTCTGTATATATTAGATGTTGTTTGTGTTCCACCCATATTTCTTCTTCTTTAGAGAGATTTTTTGCTATAGAGTGTGTGTGCTTGCTGGAGAGACAGAGAGACACAGAGAGATAGAATGGGAGAAATCACTCCACAGGGATGACGGCCATGCTCCTTCATTCTAATAGTATAATCTCATGGAATGTTCATGCATGAACATGTAAAAATTAAATGATACAATCCATGTAATATTCAAATTTCAGCCCATGGTACATAAATAGATCTAAAGAAAAATGCCCTCAGCCAAGATTACTATACCCAGCAGAACTATTCTTTATATGAGAAGGAGGGAAAAAAAAACATTCCCAGATGAACAAAAGCTAAAAGAATTCACCAAATGTAGGTCAGTTCTTTAGGAAATAGTTAAGGGAACACTACACTTGGAAAGCCAAAATATATAATAGAACTAAAATAGATAAACAGAAGCAACAGAACACAAAACAACTCTGGAAAAAAGGGGGCAGAGGAACTAAATGACAAGGCTAAGCCCAAACATATTGATAATAATGTGGAATATTAATGGATTTGATTCTTTGACTAAAAGACAGATTGGTTCAAAAGAGGAAAAAAAAAACTTTCTATATGTTGGTTATGAGATCTAAATAAATTTCTTATGATAATAAAAAGTTTTATAAATTAAGATATAAATGGAAGTAGGTTCCCCCTCCCAGCTTTTGCCATAGGGATCTGTGCTCTACAGAGAGATAGAGATGGAGATAGAGAGAGAGAGAGAGAGAGAGAAATAAACCCAAGGGGGTTTATTTCCCCTCCATTCTCCCCTTGACATTTTGGACATACATACAAACATCCACACATATCTGGTGTGATTTTCAAGCAACCAGGTCTGAGACTTGAACTGTGGTTGGACATATGGGAGTTCAGTGCCTTAACCATTATGGCAACTGCTGGCCCTGTAAATTACAATTCTTAACTTGTGTTACAAGTTTGAAATTTCTTTTTTTTTTTTTTTGAGAGGTTATTTACCATAGGGAACTCAGAGAGACAGAGAGACAGAAAGTGAGAAATCACCTCACAGGGGGGATGGTCATGCCACAATCCCTTCTTTCTATTCTCCTCTTGGGACCTTGGGCACACAGGCATAAGCACCTGGCATGAATTTTAAGCTGCTGGGTCCAGGACTCGAACCATGGTTGACCACATGGGAGTCCAGTGACATAACCATTATACAGCCTGCTGGTCCCATCAAGTTTGAAATTTATATGTGTTTTATCAAAAGCACCTGAAGCTAAGGATTGTGGTAGCTGTCTAAGGTTTCATAGCATAAAACAGTTTCATCCCTTGATGAGGAAAAAAGAGCACTTTCCAAAGAGATCAAATACTGTGTCCTCACTACAATTCAATGTTTTATAATTCCAAGGGGCCTAGTCAGATATCTCAGACTTTGAAATACAGTTTAACTTGGAATTGGGCAAAAGTGCTAAGGAGGTTAGACCTCTGGAGGAAGGTGAGTTCAAGGAGAAATACTAATGACAGTGTTCACCTGATTTCTAACTTGATCTTTTGGGAAAAGAGAGTGATCAGGAAAATATTTCTTTCTGCCCAGGTCAGTGTCCCACAAGGGATATCACGTGCCCAGGAGCTGGAGTCACAGGAGAGAAAGGTGGCAAATGAGCAGATATCAGGAGTTGTAAATACCTCCTGTTATTGTCCTTGTGTAGGACAGGACATGGTTGACTTCTCTTCTGTAGTTCTACACCTAGCTGTGAAAAAAAATGCTTCATTCTTTCCTGCTGTCTTGTCTGAGAACAGAGTTATAGTCTCCATGGTCATCCATCCAGGAAGAAAATCACATGGACACCGCCTTCTCAGCAACCCCAGGCAGGTGAGTTTGAGAGCCTAGCAGGTACTACAGGAAGAGTTCATAGAGAACAGAGGCTGAGAATGTTCACCTGAGGTCACTGAGAGCCCAAACCAATGTAGCCCAGATCCACAAGATCACCATGCTTGCTTGAATGCTTGACTAATTAATTTGTAGTTAATTTATTTAATATGTTTTTTAAAAGTCTGTTGGACTTGGCAATGCAGGTGAGAATTAAATGATGGGAACAAAAATCCAATTGGAGAAGGCCAAAGAAGGAACAAGAGGGGTAAAGGGGCTTCAATAAAGTTAAGACATTTCCATGGGGATTTGCAATAAGTGGATAGGAAAATCAAGTATTATATTTAGAAGAATGTGCACTGAAGTGTGGGCTATCCTATTTACTTTTTAAGATGGGATGTATTTGGGGCATGTTTCTGTATTCAAACTAATGGAAGGCTTACAGATATTACTTTGCAACAGCAGCTCATGAACCATATATTTTACAGTATCTTCTCTCAAGTTGGGTAGTCACAAGAAAAAATCAGTTTTATTTGATAGGACACTGGGGAAAATTAAAGAACTTAATATATAAATTATTTCATTACTGCTGAGACTGAAAACATTTTGGAGTTTGTTAGCCTTTTTTATTTACTGGGAATTGTCTTTTCAAGTTCTTTTACATATTGAGGGTCATTTGGTTTTATTCTTTCTAAGAATTTTTTTGCAATGTTTTATTTAGTTATGATAAATAGATGATAGATAATATAATGTGTGGTGCTATGTGATAAATTTTAAATTTTGTGTAGTCACATCTATCAGTCAGTCATTTTGTATACCCATATTTCTCAATTTATCATTGTTCTTTTTTGTTATTTTTGTTTTTGTTTTAGGGCACATGAGCTTGCCAAAGAGAGAGAGTTGTGTGTGAGAGTGAGAAATCACCTCCCAGAAGAGATGGCCATGCTGAAATCCCCATCCTCCATTCTCCTCTCAGGATTTTAGACATAACACACATGTACTTGGTGTGATTTTTTTCAAGCCCCATGTCTGGTACTTGAATCATGTGGGATCCAGTGCCTTAACCTCCACACTACCTACTGGCACCCTCATTGCTTTTTAGACTTAAGAACATATTCTGAATCATTAGTAGTAATTCTTTTTCTTTTTAAGATAATTTTTCAGGTCCTTTATTTAACCATTTATTTACACAAGTAAGTACCAAGGCCACTTACAACTCACTATAAAGTGAGGTTACACTGGCTCCCAGAAGTTAAAGGATATCAAGTCTCTAGGACAAACAATTTTATATTGCTTCTTCAGAAAATGAGATTTCATACAAATGTGTTGCTGTTTTACCTGCTATCTCCAAAAGTGGATTTATGTGATCTCCTTCTGCCAGCTTCACAAATCCAACCTGATTTCCAAAAGTGCCAATCCCTTCAAAGGGCAAAGTCAAATTATCTCCTTGGAGAATTTCTTCTATGAATGGTTTTAATTCCAAAAGAGCATCAATACCAATGTTTACTTCATCTTCATTTAATAACTGCATCACTAGCAGGGTAACATGGAAAGAACCATCACCAACCATTTCTTTGGCCAGTCACTTATCTTGTTCTATTATTGCATGCTGCAGGATCTTAATTTCTCTTGTAATCTCTTTGTTGGTGATTGGAATGGATAGGAAATAGTTGGGTTGATCATCTTTGTGCTTTTTTTTTTCTTCTTTATTTGATCACTCTTGATACATTGGTTTTCTTTATTTCTCTTGGAATTGATTTGAGACATATCAGTAATGTCACAATCGTCTTTAATATCTATTGTAGCCAATTGCATTTCTACCATAGTGTTAGCTTCAAATTCCTCCATCATCATCTCTTCCCTTCATTCATTTTCACACTCGCTGGAATTTATCCCTCCTGCTCCCGGGTGCTTCATGGTCATGGCGCCAGCAGGAAGCACGTCACAGCGGGCTGCAGCAGCGGCTCCGTGCACCTAGGGGCAGGGGCGGGACCCAGGAGAAGGTGGAGCAGTAGTAATTCTTTTGTAACATTTGTCAACTAATTTTACCTTGTTTTTCTCATTACTACCACATGTGTTTTGCAATTAAATCTATTTTTTTTAACTTTACAATCATTTTCTACCATCTTGTAAAACACATTCTTTTGTGTTCATCTAAAAGCAAGTACATGTTTTCATAAGCATATTTGAATCCATTTGTTCATACAGTAAAAAAAAATTAACAGTAGACACTGTTGAAACTTTTTCTACTACCTCTTCTTAAAAAAATATATATTTTACTATTTTTATATGCAGGTCTTTTCTACTAACCTGAAAGTAGGACCTGCATTGGTGTGATTAAGTTATTGTTTTACATTTTAAAAAATACTTTATTTTATATTCTCATTTCATTTTATTGAATACAATTGTTTTGAATCCATTCTATTTACTTGGGTATGTATTCCCCATTATTTTCTCCTTTTAAATATTTCCATAAATACACAGCACAAACTGGTCATACCACCATGTGGCTCCAAGTTCACATGTCCATAGAATCTTGCCTACTGCAATCTGGTTGCTGTGCCTATATTCTTAGAGGGTGGCATTCACAGAGGGTGAGGCAGCACATGACTGAAGAACTCTGTGTCCTCACATTTCAGCATTAGAAGGTCCCCTCATTCCTCAACATCTCCTACCCATCTCATTATTCCCCCTTTTTAAAATTTACTCTACAAGATATCCACTTCCCCAGATATCCTGGCAGCTCCTTTCCTCTCTTCCCTGAAATCTCTGTTCACACGTCATCTTATCTGCCAGTTAATAGTACCCCATCCACTCTCTCACTTCTACATAATTCTATTGTCTTGAAAGCACTTGTTACTATGTGATGTGTCACATGATCATTTATCAGTTTATACTAATCACCAATAAGTGTTAAATATTTGAATTTATTATCATCTTATATTAATTACCCAGATAGTACATGGAATTTGGTGGGCTTTCAGTTTATATTACTCAAATGCATGTGCTAATTTGGAGAAAGGTTGAGAGTAGGATAGAAATTCTCAATCAGATATAGCATGAAAGGGTGGGTTGTGCTAAAGGGAAGAAGAAGCTTACACAGAATAAAGAGAATGGGTCAACCCTGCAGCCTAATGATTCAAGAAGCTGGATCTCACATGGTTGGCCATGGTTCAAATCCTGGTCATATCTGCTTGAAAAACACTTTGTGTGTGTGCACGCTTGCTGAAAATCATGCAGAACAGAGAGGCAGAGGAGAAGAAATTGTTGCATGACCATGACCCATTTAGGGGTGAATACTGACCCTTCCCTAGTTTCACTTTAGCATGTATGTGCATCCTGGCAATGAAAAAATATAAAGATTAATTTCTTAAGTGAAAAACATAAATTGTAGCATTTCAACTATGTGAGTAAATTTTAAAGAGAGTTTTGCTATAGGGTATGTGTGCTCACCAGAGACAGAGAGATACCAAGACAGAAAGTGAGAAATCACCCCATAGAGGGGATGGCAACACAGAAATCCCTTCTCATCCATTCTTCTCTCAGGATTTTGAGGACACATGTACATGTACCCTCCATGAGCTCTAAATCACCAAGTCTTGGACTCGAACCACAATCGACTATGTGGGAGTCCAGCAACATAATCATTACACCATCTGCTGGTCCCAAGTAATTTCTGTGAATTCTGTGAGCTAACCCTGTAAGCAATTTTGAGAGAAAAATAGTCATGTTATTATTATTTTTTTTTCCCTGATAGTCACTTCCATCTCATGGAACCAGAGAATGATACAAGAATTTCAGAATTTCTTCTTCTGGGACTTTCACAGGAACCCAAATTACAGCCCCTCATATTTGGGGTTTTCCTCTCCATGTACTTGCTCACAGTGATTGGAAACCTGTTCATCATCCTGGCTACAATCTCTGACTCCCACCTGAACACACCCATGTACTTCTTCCTCTCCATCCTGTCCTTTGTGGATATCTGTTTTACCTCCACGACCATCCCGAAGATGCTGGTGAACATCCAGACACAGAGCAAGGTCATCAACTATGCAGGCTGCATCACCCAGATGTTCTTTTTCATGTTCTTTACAGGGTTGGATGATTTTCTCCTGACTGTGATGGCATATGACCGGTATGTGGCCATCTGTCACCCCCTGCACTACACGATCATCATGAATCCCTGGTTCTGTGTGTTGCTGGCCCTGTTGTCCTGGATTATGAGTGTCCTGAATTCACTATCACATAGCTTAATAGCCTTGCGGCTGTCCTTCTGTACACCAGTAGAAATTCCCCACTTTTTCTGTGAAATTAATCAGGTGGTCCACCTTGCCTGCTCTGACACTTTTATTAATGACATAGTGTTATATTTTGCAGCTGTGCTGCTGGCTGGTGGTCCCTTCACTGGGATCCTTTACTCTTACTCTAAGATAGTTTCCTCCATACGTGCAATCTCATCAGCTCAGGGGAAACACAAAGCGTTTTCCACCTGTGTCTCTCATCTCTCAGTCGTCTCCTTATTTTATTGCACAAGTATAGGGGTATACCTTAGTTCTGCTACTACCCACAGCTCACACTCAAGTGCAACAGCCTCGGTGATGTACACTGTGGTCACACCCATGCTGAACCCCTTCATCTACAGCCTGAGGAATAAAGATGTAAAGAGGGCTCTGAGAAGTTTCCTGTGGAGGAAAACTGTCAAAGGATCAACTTCTCTGCTATTGAAGAAGCATGCTTGTTAGCTGGGCTCAAAACATAAGGCAATAATGGTGAAAATCTGTCCAGATTCTGGAAGTAGAACATTTCCATTCAATTATCTTCAGAACTTCCATGACTTTTATTTTAACCTCTCTATACAATATAAATACCTCACTTTTCCTCTCTGATATTTAGATTTTTTACCATTAATTTCATTGAGCAACATGAATTTATTTAAAATAATTTTCTCTCGAATTACATCTACTGAATATGTTTTCCTCTCTTCTATTAAAATACCACATGCTATACTTTTCTTATGGGACCAAAATAACTAAACTTGGTGGTGGTCAATAATATAACTCAGGGGTCAGTAAGTGGTGTAATTGTTACGGCACTGGACTTTCACATGCTGACCACAGTTTGAATCCCAGGAGTGGGAACTTGAAAATCATGCTGGGCCTTCAGGCATGGGTGCCAAGAATCTGGGATGAGAGTGGAGAAGAAGGGATTGCAGCATGGCCACCCCCTTCGTTGTGATGTCTCTCTCTCTGGTTAGTGCACTTGTCATATGTCAAAATTAATTCAAAAGATTTTATATCTATTTGTGTGTGTGTGTGTGTGTGTGTGTGTGTGTGTATACGTAATTTAATAGTATAAGAAATCGGAGACCACAATTTTTCCTTTTGAATTTGTTTTATTTATTAATATATTCATTATTTACATTTAATCACTATATATAGTGTACAACATGGTTTTTTACCCAGCATGAATACAATGCATTTCAGACAAAGACATAACCATATACATTGTCAGCAAGTAACTTCTCATTTTTGTGTCAATTAAACATATCATTTGCTTGTTTATTTCCCTGTTACCCTCCTATCCTCCTTTTATTGACCACTGCCTATTACTCCCCTTACTGTCTCTAGTATCTGCAGTTGCCCTTCCTGCTGTTATACCTTCCAACCTTTCAGTTTCTGCTATAGAGCACAGACTTTTGTGAGACCACAATTAACAAATGTTCTGTCCATTGTTCTACGGCGTATGATCACTTTAACTGTTCTTCATAAAAGAGGTAAAATTTAGCCCAGCAACTTTAGTTTATAACTTGTCATTGGGATTTTTTTTTTTAGAGATTTTTGCCATAGGGTGTGTGTGCTTGCCAGAGAGAGAGAGAGAGAGAGAGATGGAGACAATGAGAGAAAAAGTGTGAAATCATCCCCCAGGTGAATAGTCACACCACAGTCCCTTCTACTCCATTCTCTTCCTGGGATCTTGGACATGCACACACACACACACAACCAGAATGATTTTCAAATGACCAGGTTTAGGATTTGAACCATAGTTGGCCAAGTGGGAGTCTTGATTTTTATTCTCATCTTTTTTTATTGTTTTTATTTTTTTTCTACAGGGCACATGCACTCACTAGAGAGACAGAGAGACAGAAAGTGAGAAGTCACCTCCCAGGGAGGAGGGCCACAGAGCAATTCCTGCTCCTCCATTGTCTTCTCAGGATCTTGGGCATGCATGTACCTGGGATGAATATTAAGTCAACAGGTCTGGGCCTCAAGCCACCATCAACTACATGGGAGGGCAGTGATGTAACTTATGCCATCTCTGGTTCCAAGTTTTATTCTCATCTTTAATATCCTGTTTCTTACCTAGTCTAGTTCACTAGGCCTTTGTAGTCACTGTCAAAAGGAATTACTATCTACATGTGTCCAAGTGGGTTCTCCTTGGAAAGACATCTTTCATTAAATGGTTTGTCTCTTTATGAATTTAAAGATGATGCACTGAATTTTAAGTTATAAACTGTATTACTATGCAAAAATTTTTTGTTTAATTATCTAGATCTACCAAGTAATGTGTAAAAGATTATTATTCATGTATACAATTACTCACTTTGGTGAAGGATGGCTTTATGTTTTTATTGAAATATCTTCCTATTTCTTATTAAAAATGTCTTGTGTTGCCTAAATATATAAATCTTTCCATTGCTCTATATGAAATATATCCATATTTTTAAAATTTTGTCAGAATTATCAGACAGTGAATGACTGACTATTATCAGTATCACCTATATGGTATCTCCTTTACGCTCAGATATCTTTTCCATTTTCATGATCAAAGCATCACTCACAAGTAACCTTGAATTTCTGTGCAGTCATGTGATTCTGGATCACAAGTATTTTTGCACAAACATACCTATCTTTTTAACCTCTCCTGGTTTCCTGGAAAGGAAGCTCATATTAGCCACTTTTAAATATGATCTCAAAAAATTGAATAACAGAGAAATCATGATTGTGATCTTCAAATATAAGAAAAAAAGACCAAAAATAAAAAGCAGATTATTATGATTTTCTTTCTTTTTGTTCAATTTGGTTATTGTATCAGTTTGTTATTGCTGCATAACAAGCCATCCTAAAAGAAAATGATTTAATATATTATCTTTTTAAACTAATATGATTACACAGAAGGGCAATATTTCTGAGCTTTCTGGTCTTCTCATGTATCTGTAGTCATCTGTAAGTCAAATGAGGAGGTGCTGCTGATGTTGAGAGAGGTTTCTCATCTATTGAGGACTTGGCTGGCTGTTGGCCAATCTATAATGGCTTTGACTAAGACAACTAGCTCCTTGCACAGTTCCTCTCTTGCTGCAGCTCAGTAGCCTGGATTTGTTGATATAGCTGAGGTAGGGTTCCACAGAATTGCAGAAATGCACCAAGGACCATAGTGACCTGTGGGGACATGCGCTGAGCAAACACCACATGCCCTTTTGGGGTTTGGCAGAACCTTGTAACTTGTCTTTCCCTGACCTTGGCTGCAGACAGAGCAAGGGTAGAAATTACTAGGGGCGTTCCAACAGACACACCTAACAGCTAGTTCTCTGCATTAGAAAGGAAGATGAGATTTACTCTAGATGGGATTACCACCAAGGGATACACCTTGCCCTGGGTATGACTAATCCCTTATAGATTTGTTAACTGCTTCTCATTGTCTATACCCTGGCAACTAATCCATGAAGTGTCATGAAACATACATGTGTAATGTCTCCTTGTACTATAAATAAAGACGTCCAGTTCATCTGGGTGGCACAGGTTGCTTGGGCTACCTAGGCTCAGGCTGCCTGTGTCCATTTCCACTCTATCTTTTTGTCTCATCTTTTCTGCTTCTTCCATAATAGCGCCAAGTCCTGGGGCGGACGCCGACAGTGACCCACTGTTAATATCAACATATCCTAATAGTGTGGAAGACCACATATTAGATTTTGCATATGAGTAACTGTTCGTCCATTTTGTTCCTTTACCCTAACATAGTTGTCTGTTTTGGTGAACTTGCTCTTCCCATGAGAAAATAGCTTGTACTAGCCATACAGAAAACTGCATCGGGATGACATCCTATACCAGTACTGTCTTTGCTAACTAGCCTGAAACCCTTTGTTTAGCATTGTAACTGGTTGCATGGAAACCCCATGCCCCTCAAAAATAATTAACTGGCTTGATTCAGCTTCTGTAACTACATTCACAAGGGGACCCTGTACACCTGGTAACCGACCCCTATGAAAGGCTACCCCAAACTTTGGCTGGGGCTGCAGTTCTGACTCTCAGCCCAGAAGCTTCAGGCTGTAGTTGCTGGCCAGCTAATAAAGACTCCCTTTAAACCTTAGCCTGACTTTGGTGGTCGTTCATTTGGTTGCACTCTACAACAGTGATCCAAGCAAATTAAAACTTCTCTGTCTGGCTCAAGCCTTAAAGGATGTCCTCTTTCACCTTTGCCTTCAGTGGCTGGATACTTGTAGAGAAAAGAATAAGAATGAAAGTATATATTTAAAGAGCAACTATGGAAATTCTACCCCAGTGATTCAAGCCCCTCTCAGACATAAATACTCCTAAACTTCCAACTCCCTATCTCTATCTAAGAAAGAAACGAACCCTTTTCCTTCAGATAATGAATACAAACCTGGGACCTCAGGTCTAAATCTTTGATTAACAGACTACATACAAGTTCCTCACTAAGACTGTTGTCATTCCCTATCCCTGTTATGTACCACTTTTCTTGTGATTGACCTCATTTTATAAGCAACCCCCATCCTCTGGTACTGGTATTTATTGAGAGCCTTTATTAGAAGACATGCCATTTGAAATGCAAATAAACAACAGAAGTAAAAGAAATTGAAAGAAGATAGAGAATTAAGGTATAAGTCCACTGTGGATGTCCTGAATATAAGACTTGAGAAGAAATGGAAATCACTAGAGACTTCAAATTACTTTGATAGGAGACCGGGTACCCCAAAGGAGGGACAGTATTTAGAAATGTAGAGGAAACTACATGTTGGGTAAATTCGCTTTACAAGCTGTAGCGATATATAGTGAGTAAATCTATAAAATGAATTAATAAATGAATACAATTAATTAAAATAATAAAAAGAAGTTACGCCAGCATCCCTTTCAATAGCAGACAGGATTTATCACCAGTCAGTCTTCACTAATGCAGTCAAAAAATGCTATTGTCTTTTTCTGGTTAACTTAGGAGTATTATTGTTATTACTATTATTTCATTTATTTTTATGATTTTTGCCATAGTGCGTGTGTGCTCAGCAGGGAGTGACAGAGAGAGACAGAAAAAGGGAAAGTGATAAATCACCTTTCGGGGGGGTTGGTGATGTTGTAATCCCTCTTCCATTCTCCTCTTGGGATTTTGGATATACACACATACATGACTGGAATGATTTTAAAGCCACTAGGTGCGGGACCAGAATCACAATCAGCCATGTGGAAGTCCAGTGCTCCAATCACTATGTCACCTTCTGGCATAAAATTATTTTTGTTTTGGGATTCCTCAGCATGTGAATAGTTCTTTCATGGGGTCTTCTAATTTGTCAAGACATTCTTTTTGTACAATCCCATCAAAGAATATAATAGAATTCCTATAACTATCCCATTATTACAAAATGTATGTGGAATATAATTAATTTTGACACTCATATAGATCTTTTTTTGCTAGTTTTGGAAATTATTTTTCTATAAGGTGGATGAACTCACCA